ACTGAAGCATAAAGTAGAGTGAACGAAATTCTTTATATTATGCCCGGATAGATAAAAAAATTTCAGCTGGATACATTATTTCTAATAATGATTACAGAAAGTAGAGTAAACGAGGCTAACCACAGCTGCTTTTTATTTTACCTTTATCAATATTTCATTTGATTTAAGAAAATAAAATATCTTATTAGTTGTGTTGCATCAACCGCCTAGAACATCATAGTGGTGCCTTAGCTTACTGGGAAGAGATAGTAACTTACTATATTTATCATATCTGGACATCCTTATACCTTATCACTGTGGGAGTCGGAGCATGATGGGATCCCCAGCACCTAAAAACAGCTCATTGATAAGGCTCGTTTCTTCCTATGCACTGCCCTTTGCATGAGCCTGGGAGTCCTTCCAGTGGGAATTCAGATTATGTTGTTTCCCTCCTGACAAGCACAGGAGCCTAATTGAGATGGATGGTTCTAGATACAGAATAGCGTGGAAAACATGTTTTTTTAGATTACTGAAACAGAAAACAAAAACATTCATGGAGGGGATGGAGAGCGGAGTACGTGCTTTCACGTAGATGCCACACACATTGTAAAATAAAAAACAGAGCCTCATTATTCTTTGAGTCTTTGTGCTGCTTTTGAAAAAAAAAAGCCGATTAGTTATTTTGCGAGCGTTTTACACCAGAAAAATAATTTTAAGCCCAGGCTTTTACCTACTTCATACAGTCTCGTAGAAACGTGTTAACTCATTTGCTTGGTCGACGGTAAAATTCACTATGGAAATGTCTACAGTGGACTTGTTTTTGCTTTCAGAGATGAAAAACAAAAGTCAGGAGTAAATTGCAGCGAGCCTTTTTCTTTCAGTTACTACAACCCGTACACTCAAGCAAAATGTCTGTATTGTTTGTAGCCTTGCCTATACATGACAGGGCACTAATATATGCGTATTCTTTTAGGTGTACACACAGCACTGACTCTCTGTGACCTTGGACCGCTGCGAGCTTGAATCCATTTCATGAGACAAGCCTCATTCATTGAAATCCATTCATTTGAATTATTATTCATATACAACTCAAGTCGAGGGACAAAACTGGCCTAGAGAGGAGATATGTGTGTGGCGAGTCCTGCTTATGGGTCTCTCTAGAGACGCGCTTCATTTTCAAGGTATATTCAACAACATTTTTTATGTATAAAAAAATAATCTCAGATCCTTTATATGATCTACGCTCATTCTGCCATGACCTTACACACGTGAAAAAACAACACTTGTCTTTTTGTCAGAATTAAAGGAGGCGCCTGTTCAGTATTCCCATTTAAACTTTAAATGTGAGGATCTTATCCTTTTTCTTGTTGTTTTTTTTATCACAGTCGCACATATTTTCCCATGTAGGTCTTCACCTTTAACACTCACAACCTTAACATTCATCCAAGACCGTGCAATGTTCTCAATCTGGTTCAAATGCGTTAAAAATGTTAACTGAGAAACTAGAGACGTCAGGATAATTTACGCATTTGTAAAAAGTGTTTTTGTAGCAGGAAATTGTTAAAGCACTTTTTACGTAAATCCCATTTTTGTGCTTTCCAAGAACACGGGAAAGTCATCATAATTCTTGGCAATATCTGTTCGCTGTCTGTTCCACGAAGTACTCAAACCCTGGATCAGCAGTGTCTTGTTAACATGCAAATTCTGGACAATTGTCAGTCCTGTTGCACAATCTGAATGGAATAAGAAAAAAAAAGTAAGAGGAGATTTAAAAAGATAAATCCATTGTTGAGAAATGAGATGAGGGATCAACAGGAAACCGGGGAGGTGGCCGAGGATAAAGAATAACGAGGAGGCGGCAATCAAGACAAAGACATAGGAAAGTGATGAGTAAATGCCTGACAGAAATGTAAATTGCCTGATGGAACCTCTCATCGTGTCATGGAAAAATGCACACACACACACACACACACACACACACACACACACACACACACACATATATATATATTCATTTAGTATCTCTCAGGGGTCCCATCAATATTCTTTATTGAGAAACTGCTCTGGCAGTTTGCATCTGGTCTTAATTACACTTACAGGGTGATGGCTGGATCAGGCAGAGTGAAGAGAGCCAGTGAAAATAACTGCGGTCTGCCACTGTCTTAATCAGGACCAACACGCACATGCCGAACATGCACAAACACACACCAAACACCGCAGACCTATTAATTAGCGTGACCTTTGGTTGTGGTGAACGATGCATTGTAAATCTTGTTTCCTTCAGCACATTCAGTTTGAATGATAGGCCGATTGAACATTTCATTACATTTTGTCTGACCAATAAAAGCGTCCGGTTCTTTGGTTTGGGTCCATTGTTTTTGTTCTTCTTGCTTTTCACCATGAATGGTAAATATGAAAGTTTCAGGTTTAGTCTTGCAGAAAAACAGGAGTCTGTCTTTGTCCATAATTTGAAGCTCCCTGATTAACACTTTAATTCTGGCTTGTTTTCTGTGTCAGCTGCCATTGTATAGGCTGCTGTGGGCCAGGCTGTTACTGGCTGTGAGCGATTGCTTGGTTTCATATTCAAGATTTAGCATGTTAATTAGTCATATTTTAGAGTTCCAACATAACGGATGGATGTGTTGGTTTCCCCATATACATCTTCTGTTATAGTCCAGATTCCCCTCTGTTCTTTAGCAGGCTGTTTACACTGAGTCTGCATTATTCATGGCCAACTGCTCCAACTGGCTGGAAGAATGCCACTGGGTTCACTGCCAGCCAATCAGACTACTACCTGGTAAATTTCCTTATGTCGTATCTTTACTTGGTGTAAGGGCAGCACCTGGAGATGTCAGCTTGTATATATGAACCAGACTCTGACTTGACTGGGAAGGCTACCTTCTGTTACACTCCTGAGACTGAAGCAGGATGTTTGAGAACCGGAGGGTCATGAGTGCAGTCAAATAGTCACGTTTGGGCAGGGATGCTCCAAAGTAAGTGAACTGACCCAGAAGGATCTCTATGGTAACCAGTATAAGAGTTGTTTGAATTCTGTAAATACCAAGGAAAGGTGCATCAAGTGCTTCCTTTATCATCTTTACCTTTACGATTGGATACAGAAAAACAATGCGGTCCATTAATTCATAGCAACACTCTATCCAACTATCATTTTAAACAATTAACATAACAGAAGCTGTTCCCATATAAAATATTGATAATTGCTAAAAAAGTGTTTTTAGACGGCGTCATGGTTCTGGGTCTAGGACCCAGGTTTCACATTTTGAGTCTTACAGTGAACACCAGTGAGTACTGGTTATTATTTTGTGTTCCAAGGTAAGGCAGTGATTTTGAAATTTAACATAATCTCAATAAACAAACAAACAAATTATTATTAACAACAACAACAACAACAACAATAATAATGTTAATAATAATTCTCAAAATCCATGTCACAAAGTGCTTCCTTTTTTTCACCATCTGCAGCAATTTAGTGATTTTCTCTGCAATTTGGAGCCATGACAGCTTTCACAATAACAGGTTGACCAGAGGGAGATATTTCTGGCACAGCTGAACTGTGTGCTATAAGTATATAAAAAACGAGAATAAAATAAAAAGATAGCATATCATGCTGTGTTGTTAGAGAGGAAACCATTTTCAGGTTGCTTTTTTGTCTTTCTTAACCAACGTTTGGCGAAGTCACAAAAAGATGAAGCTTTGCCTAAAAGTTGCTTTGCTACTGCAGCAAAACATATTGTATATTGTATATATATATATATATATATATATATACATGTATAAGGCTGGGATTATATTCCCATTACAGGTGCAAAGAGACTGTGGGCACAGTTATTCACATCATAGTACTTTGTTATCTGCTCGTGGGAAGCAGGTTAAATGGAAACCTCTGGAAAATTGTGGGTGAGCTTAAAAGTCTTCCTGGTCAGCACAAACTGGAGGATACACAGATACCCACATGGAGCCTTGCCTATACTGCAGGATGATGAAATGTACTCACTGACGTAGAAAACTTAATGCTGGCATAAGGAGGTTTTTGTAACATTTTTAGGAAACAATCACAAAATGACCCAGTGGAAAAGGAAGCAGACATTAAAAAGATCAGGAAAAAGAACGAGGGAAATAAAAACCCAAGAGCCACATGGAGAAGAGTGGAACAAAGATGGTGACATAGGCGGTGCAGAAACAGGAAATTCATTCAGAGACAGAAAGGAAAAGAAACAATGTTTGTGTGATTAGAAGCTTTTGTGAAATTATTTGAGTAATATCAAAGCTTACTGTGTTTTTACTTCGGTTTTGGCAAGTTAAAATATATTATTAGTTTCTTAGCGCTAAATTAGCCTGAGTGTTCATACAGTTTATGGAAGCAGCTTGTTAGCCAAACTTGCCAGCTTCAGTTGATGACTTAGCATTCCACCTTCTAGAGTAATGCAGAAAAGCTATAATGCTCTTTTATATGACCATTATTTTAATTATTATTATTTCATAAGTAGTGTTTTTTTAACTGCCTTATTGTCATCTTATGTATAAAAGTTTGTATTTTGATTTATTAAGAGACAGGATTGATTTCCTATCAAAAAAGTTCATCTTACATTAGATGAAGTGCCAGCATCTAGTGGTTACTCGAAAGAACTGTAACTCAGTCTACATGGTCAGCTGTGTGACTGTTTGTGTTACAGAAATGTGTAGTGCAAACTTTTCCCCTTCATGAACTCCACCACCCCAACCCACTCCTGCCTCGGTGTTCAGTGACTCATATAACCGATCCCTCAGTGACCTCCTCAGGACCAACCTGCAGCTACTTTCCCATCCAGCAACCCTAACGGATACAATCCACAAGAAACAGACGTCTCATTTATTTAGAACTTTATTTATATTTAACAATGTTGACAGGAGAAAAATATTCTTTATTTATTGACCTATTTATTGACTATTCTAGAAATCATGTTAGCACATTTGAATATTTTATTTAAACAACAAAACATCCATTTCAGAACAAAAAAAGCCATCAGCTGTTTATAATATTGCATTAAAACATTCTCTCTCTCTCTCTCTATATATATATATATACACATTTACGGTAGCCATGCCACCAAACTAATTAAGGACTGTTTTATGCCTTTAGGCCAACTCTGACACACCACTGCTGGTCAAGTCTTTCTTTGCCTTCAGCATTTCAAACATTTTGGCAGAGGTTCATTAGTTCTTAAAACTAAGCCGGCAGATACAAGTGGGTCTCAACAAGCAGGCCTGACATTTACAGGATGCCCTTCGAGGGACGGTTTCGGAGCAGACGGTCAAGTCAAGACGCTCAGTTTGCTTCACCTTAGAGGAGATGGATGAGGCAGAGATGGTGTTTTCGGAAGTGTTTGGAAAAAGATTAATGCTGCTTTTAAAATGAAACCTCGGCGGGGTTTGAAAAATGGTTACATTAACTGGTAAGATGATCGTTACAGAAAAATGTAACAAAACTTGGTGGTGATTATTTTCTTGGCACATAAATATAGTTAAGATACAGACACTGAAATAAGCTTAGAATCAAGAAAGTTTCAGGCTAATTTTTTTTATTCATATAGTTTATTCATTTATAAAACATCAGAAACAGAATGTGTGATTTTCGTGTGGTGTGACTGACATATTAATCTCATTCATACATACTGTATCATTGATCATTTTAAAATGTCTCTTTCCTTATATGTGCAAAAATGCTGCTTCTATGAATGAAGTGGTTGGCTCCTTCTGTGTATCTTCCACAATTTGTGTTTTCATGTTTTCTGGTTAAAGTTGAAGTAAAAGAGGGGGGGGGAAGCACTGTGAGCAAGAGGCGTTATTGTTGTTAACACGTGTTTTTGTTAACTCATAAAATGCATTTCACTAAATATTCTTGGGATTGCCCAGCGGGAGTGCTTATGGAAAGATGTAGGGAGACAGTTAGCAGCTGGACGGCTTGAAATCTCCTCAGCCTTTCGTGAGCTGATTTGAATCTTTCTGCGGTGTGTTGGTGGCCGCTCTAATCTAACCGCTCTGATGACACGGCCGAGCTGGATTCCTGCACTCGAGTGCCGGGGTAACACATGTAAGCAATGTCTCAGTGTGTCACAGCTGGTGGAGGTTAATGTTAAGAATAGCTGTCAAAAAAATGAACGTTTAAAGACGCATGAAGTTTAAAAGCGGTCAAAGTGAAAGAGAGGTAAAGGGAGGGGGTGTGTGGTTAATCAAAGAATTACTGAGTGAAAGAAGCAATCAGGAAATATCACTGGTGTTCAAAGAAAATCCCCTGTTTTCATGTGTATGCATTTGCAGGATTGATTGGGATTGATAGATTATGCTGGTTTAAAAAATCCTGTTTTAGGATTACATCATAATTCAGACTGAGATGAAGAAACTCTGGAGGTTCCAGGTTTCCACCCAGGAGCGGGGTAAAGCATACATTTCCAGAATGACAAAACACAGAACAAACATTGGAAGTTTTCATATACTACACAGGCGTAATGTTGACTTTATGTAGTGATTTATGCATCTTTCACCTAGTTAAGGGTGTCTTTTTGTATGTCACCATCAAACAGAATAACATAGGTGCTTGCACACAAAAATGCAAGTGCGTGCTCGTGGCCAGCCGAGTAGAAATACATTCATCCGATGCCTTCCTGCATGCACAGCCACTGGGACATAATCCAGCTGTGGGAGATGTGGAGATGCTATTTGCTGAGTGTGTACATGCGTGTATGAGTTGGTGCTGTCAAAAGCATGTGACCCGTGTTATTCTGTTTACACTCCACCTGTCTACACTTCATCCCTGTTGTGCTACATTTTATTAGCTCTGCTGAAAAGCGCTATAGCAGGATGTGCATTAGAGCATTTCGTCTGAATTTTCTGAGCTCTCGGCTGACAAATTATACAACAGGTCTGAGTCAGACAGACACGTGATATTTAAACCAAGAGAGTGGTATGGAAATCATCTACTCACATTTAGTGACAGTGTCTGGTGTTTTCTGTTTTATCTTTATGCTTTTTAAGAAGTGTTTAAGCCTTTATTTGATATAGTGATGAATAGAATTAACCCTTTAAAGTCGCAGCTCAATGCACAGTCAGAAAGGCATCAAATCCACACACCCAAGGCTACAAGCTTGAGCATAAAATGTACATTTCAAGTGGAGAAGTTTGAACAAAAAAATAAAAAAGGGAAATTTGCCAAGCTAGGCCATGTTTGTGAAAAGTGTAAACCCGGTGTATTTTTTGTAGCTGCAATTTACATAAATGCGTCAGATGTAGGCAGTCATAAAGCTCTTGTTTTCCAACAAAGTGATGCTATTATAAGGATACACTCTCTGCACGTGTCTGTGACTGCTCCAGTTCAAACTTGGCTGTCCAGAATGGGCAAAATGGGTTGTTACAGCACATCCAAAAACATCAGAGTGCCTGAAAAAATTTGTCACAGAAAACCAAACACGAGAAAACTACAGTGAAACTTGTCCAGTTGTCCTTGTGACGACTAACTTTTGAGTTTTGGGCCATCAGCTTAATGGAATGTTGGAAGAATTTTAACAGTTTGGATGACTTTAAAGCTGTTTCAGGGTTACAGTTGTTACAGTTAGAGATTAGTTCAGCCCAGGGTAGCTGCATTAATGCATTAATGTCAATGAATGCCCACTCAAAGAAAAACGATTAACATATCTGTGTATGTATGTATGCCTATCCCCCCTGCACACAGAGTGGAGCAGTCAGCAGTCCGTCTAGTGCAAACACTGGTAGCAGAGAACAACTTTTAGTCAAAATATGAGAATCGCTCATCCAAATGATCTGAAAGTCAGCACTTCACTTACTCGGGCTGTCAGCAGAAAGCCAGCCAAGTTTAACTTGGATTAGGCAAACAGTTGTGGAAATAAACAAAGAATATAGTGGCTGCACATACAGTGATTTCCTAAGTCATTGTAGGTACCTGCAATGCATTATTGGAGTAACTAAAAAGAAAGAAGTCCAAAAGTACCGTGCAGTGCATCATAATAGGAAGGGAATTAAAATGCAGCCAGTATTCGTTTGGCTTTATGGGGTACTGGTGCCATCACACACAACTGTGTCATTTAGGTTCTGCTGGTCAGTGATGCACTGCATGCTGGAAGAAGACTTGGTGATGGGGCAGAGTAGGGTGCGGAAGTGCCTCCTGAAGGTGTCAGAGAGGCAGGCGTAGAGGATGGGGTTCGCGCAGCTCCACGAGTAGGAAAGCAGGACCACAAACTCGAAAGCCCTGTAGAAGGTCACGGCGTAGCTGTTTTGGTATGGAGAACAGAAGTTGAAGGTGTAAAACGGCAGCCAGCACAAACCAAACACAACCACCACCGCGACCACCATTTTGGTGACCTGTTGCTCCAGCTGCTGGCTCTCCAGGGTCACCGCTGAGGTTCGGAGTTTCTGACCCCACAAGGCGAGCAGCATTGCCACGTAGAAACCTGTCATAACTGTAAATGGTAAAGCGAAACCCAAAATAAAGGTGTAAGAGAGGACGCCAAGCCACCGGGCGTCGGAGCCGAGATCCGGCGTACAAAAGCCGTGATCGGTCGAGAAGTGAAGCGCCATCGGGAGGATGGTGAGGAGGGAGAACAGCCAGAGGAGGGATGAAACAATCTTGGCACAGCGCGGGGTCCTCCAACGGGCAAAGCGAAGCGGCTCCACCAGCGCCATGTAGCGGTCGATGCTCATCACCGTCAGGCAGAAGACGCTGGTGAACTGATTGATGCCGTCCAGCACCATGACAGCTTTGCACGCCACATCTCCAAAAATCCAGCGGTTCATGAAATTCTGACTCGCTATAAAGGGAAGACCAACCATGAATAGTCCATCGGCCAGCGCAAGGTTGAAAATGTACACTGTGGTTGAAGAGGACAGCTTGTCAAACTTTAAAATGGCGACGATAACGAGCGCGTTTCCAGCTAGCCCCATGACCCAAACCACCAGGTAGAGAAAGGCCATCGTGATGCCGAAACCATCTAGATTTCCCTCCCAGTAAAATTCCCGATCCACTAAGGACTGATTGTAGTCATATAAAAATGAGGCATTCATTGTGACTCCAAAGGCTGATCAGAAAAGGAACACAAGGGCACAAAAGTGACACTTCGAACAGTCACTGCGGAGGGTGGATGAAAATCTCAGCTTCTGTTTAAATTCCTCTGCACGCAGTTCAAGAGTCACCTCTTGACTCTCTGCTGTGGAGGTTCTCAGAGGGCGATGAGTAAACAACTCAACCGAAAGAGAAAAAAAAAAATCAAACTTCCAGACTTGAGAAGTGCCAGGCTTCAGAAACTCATCAACTCCCTTCTTCCAGTTAGTCGTTACTTCCTTTTATCCTCTGGCACAAATAACTGCAAAAGTTTATTCCTTTGTGGTGGAGACGGCACGCGGCTCCCTCACATCACACACACACTAGCATGAAACAGTGGTGTGCAGCAGTGTGGAAACAAGCAGGACAGCAGCTCACACACTTGCCTGACCACTCTTTCTCCCTGGGAGCCCTTTTATATCTCTTCCACCCCTCACTGTGCTGGGAGTGTGCCACCTCCCCCCCTTCCTCCCCTGGTTCATCACTCTCCAAAGATTGTGATAAACTCCAGCTTGGCTCTGCCTCCCCCGGTTCCTCTGCTGTAATGCTGTTTCCAAGGTAAACCCATGCTCCCATCTGCTACAATACTTTTGTTTTAATAACTTTTTTTTCTGTCTTCACTCCCTCTTCATTTCTATTTACCTCACCAACCCCTCCCCCCTTCCACCATCTATTTTATCCACCTCTCTTTTCTGCCTGCACAGTTCAGCGTGGGGGGGTCACACGAGCAAAACCTAAACAAGCAAAGATAATAACAACCAGCTCGTTGCCTGCGGCCATCCACCTCTGCAACCCAGACCGAGTAAATCTGCCGACAGGAAACAGAAATCAGGGCTTTTGTTTTTTGACATTTGACACGGGATGCTGCAACTTCTTTTTTCCCTTTCTTTATCCTATTTCTATGCTCCTCCAACCCTTTTTCAAACTACGTAGAAGTGGGGAAAAGGTGACAATGAAAAAAAAGTAAGAAAAGGTGGTGAAGAGAAAGAGGTAGGAGGACAAGGCAGAGGTCGGCAGATGAGTGCTGACCTTTGTTCTGTTGCGGTTCAGCCACGCATAGCTGAAATAACCCTTTGAAATTCCTCCAGCACGTTGCGCCACCTACCATCAACACCAGAACCGGATTTCAATCAAAACTAGACAAGGACACTTATCAGCTCATCTATCAGCTCATTCGTCAGATTTCCCCTGAGATTTCTCCGAGACGTACCGCCTGTCTGTCGTTTAAACTGGTTCCAATTAACTGCAGAAAAAATGCTTTTGTTGTTTGAACTCATGATTAGGTTCTGGCTTAATGTCTCCCCAGAGACTGGCACTTCACAGAACAAAGCCTCCCTCTACGCCCCGACCAAAGCCTTCTGCCTTCTTAAAAAAACACCCCTTGTTTCAACGGTGCTAAATTTGGAGACGTTTGACAGGGTCGTATTTCACAAGCTGCGTTTCACTGACATGTTTAAGCGGACATGTTGACATCCGTGTCCACGTGCGACAGCGCTATCTACAGCAAAAGGATAAGTCACGAGGAAACAGATGAATTTCAGCCCTCGCACGGGTAAACTCGAGGTTAAAGGCCACTTCACCATTTTTCAGAAAAGCTTCGAAAACTCTGTTTCGTTTTATTTTCCTCCTAAATCTTTCTTTTTGCCATCTTACACAACTGTCATGCACTTACTGTAACACATGTTACTTCCACTCTCATGTCTCACATGAATCTTCCTTCTAGGACTTACCTTTTACTGTGATATTTCAAAAAAGGAACCCTTTTCCCAGTCTTGTTTGAAAATGTGTGTGAAACTATTACTCACCCCCCACTATGACAGTGGCTTCTCACTGTGTCTTTGAGTGTAGTATGGACCTGTAAACACTTTTGCCCTCCAACCAGGTTGAACAAAGCGCCCTGTTCTGCAACACGTTCTCATCAGAACGCGTAACACACCGACCAGTGTCACAAAATCGTCAGTGCGTTGCGCGTTCGGCAGCTTGAGAGCCGGTTGGAATGAATCTCTAAATGTGTTTTATGTACAGATCCTGAATCGCTTTGGAAAACACTACGTGATAGGGTTAAGGTTAGGGTTGAGGTTGGAGTGGACGACTGGAGCCTCTGCTCTGGGAGTGTGTTATCACCGTGAACGCCTATCTTTTGGATTCAATTGAGAAGCCAGAGGGTTTTATAAGGACATGGAAGAGTACCCTTTGTGTTATTATTGCGCCTAGGGTCGTGACAAATCATCGGTGCGTTACGCGTTGGGAATGATAATGCTCTGTCTTCTGGACTTTCTTCATAGTTTTGCAGAGTATTTATCACTCCAGATGCCTGATGCATAAACTCTGTGCAGAGTCACAGCTGTGTGTGTAAGCACAAACGCACACAGACACACACACATTCTTTTCATCAAATTGATAAAAGCCTTGCATACTCATGCTCTTCATTTAAAAATCTCAGCCGCTGTAGAAAGGCACGCACTGGCAAAGACGTGATTTTTTTTTT